GAACATAGTTGTTATCCCAGAAATGGTATCTATTAGTGGGGTCAATAGTTTCTCAGAGTTTGCAAGTGTTATAATCAAGAATTACCATATAGCAAATATGAAGCAAATTTTTATTTTTTAATTTAAAATTTTTCTATTTATAAAAAGGGAACAAACTTCATGTATTTCATATATACAATTTTAGTAGCAAAATGATGCTCCTGTTTTACCCTTCCTTATTTCCTCACTCCTATCCTTCTTCCTTCTTTTCTAGTTTTTCTTTTAAATACATCTTGCCTTGTCTTTGCCCTCTTGCTATCATGGGCCCGTGCTGCTCTGCACCACCAGGGCATGTGGCCCTCAGGCCACCAGCCCTGTGCTTCCTGGCCTGCATGCTCTTCCACGTGGCTGGCTCCTGGTACTCTATACCAAATTTTGCTAGTAGAACCATAGAAATAATTAATACCTCAGGTCTCAATGTATGGACGTTAACAATGATGAAAGATAGATACAGACATTTGGGAATCAAATACTAGGCAAAGTACTTTTAAAAAGTGTTATCAGGCTTTTAAGAAACACATGTATAGGATCCTGTCTGTCTTATTACTGGTAGAACTCAGCTGAATTTAGAAGGTTCTAGTATTCTCCATGGCTGAAGTTGGGAGTCTGAAACCCTGATGCTTATGCTCTATTCTAGATCATAGCTACAACTCTTTCAGGGTATAAGGAAAAGAGAGAATATTTCCACAATGATAGATCTTTGGTTATATAGTTACCAGAGACTGTTACAGATGATTGCTGTCAAGGCACAACATTCTCAAGCAGTCCATGACCTTGAAAGTTTAGGCAAACACCAGAGAAAAGCACTAAAAAAATCCCATTGGATTTGTGGAAAAACTCCAGAAGAAGCTTAATAAATATCCACAGAGAGTTGTTCAGTTGCCTGAGATTGTATGGGACCAATATACCAATAGCCTTGGACAATTTGAAAGGGAATTTAAAAATCATAAAAGACATACAGGATAGTTAAACTAGTTTTTGATAAAGTAGGTTTACCTGCTAGACCAAAAAGCCCTTCAGATCCTAAGAAGGATGGAGAGTCTCTCTCATACTGCGTGTTGCTTTGAGTGATGGTCCAGAGGCTCAGACAGTCGTCTTCAGATGCTAAGAGGCCGCCTTTGTGATGTTACCAAGCCAGAAACATTTAACCAACTGTGGACTGTTGAAGAACAGAAGAAACTTGAACAGCTGCTCCTGAAATACCCTCCAGAAAAAGTAGAATCTTGACGCTGGCAGAAGATAGAGGATGAAATGGGCAACAGGACAGCAAAACAGGTTGCAAGCCGAGTACAGAAATATTTCATAAAGCTAACTAGAGCTGGCATTCCAGTCCCAGGCAGAACACCTAACATATTTATTCTCCAAAAAGTCTTCATCAAGCAGAAGACAGCTGACTTCTCATGAACCACCAGTGTATACGGATGAAGATGATGACCGATCCTGTTGAACAGTGATTGAAGAGGCATCGGATGAAGAAATTGTTTCTACTATGTATAGGAATTTACCTGAATGTAAATAACTATTATAGTTTAAAAAGTTAAAGAAGCAGAAACTTCAGCAAATGCAGGCTGAAAGTGGATTTGTGCAAGATGTTGGCTTCAAGTGTGGTAATTGTGGCATAGAACCTATCGAGGGTGTTCGGTGGCACTGCCAGGATCGTCCTCCGTAAATGTCTGGATTTCTGTGATCCTTGTTCAGATTGTCTACACACAACAGATATCCACAAGGAAGATCACCAGTTAGAACCTATTTATTGGTCAGAGACATTCTTAGAGACTACTGTGTGTCCCAGCGCACCAGGTATAATTACCTTGACCCAAACTACTTTCCAGCAAACAGATGACATGGAAGAGAACATCATTTCCTAGTCCTCTTCAACACATAGCAGAAGTATCATTGTTAAGTATGTGCACAGTTTGCAAAGATTCTCTACTTTCCCTGAAATGACACTCACAGCATGAGAGCTTCCTTCGTGTTCCTGTCAAGTACAGCCCTGCACAATTGTGGCTGTAGATCACTGTGCAGCAGCTGAACACTCCTGGTGAGCAAAGGGTTAGGTGAGGACCTTAAATGGGTGAGATGGAAATGAGAGCACACATTAAAGGGAGAGTAAACTCCAAAGGTTTCAGAGAGCTTGGGCACAAGTATGATGAGCAGAAAACAAAAAGTATTTATATTAAAGCACTGTAATATCTTTCAGTTTTGTGAAAATAGTTTTCAGCACAGAAACTGACTTCTTTAGACAGAGTTTTAACCAATGACAGTGTCTGCATCTAGGATACCACTTTAAAAGAACTCACTGTCTCAGTGGTTGTCGTTGATGGCCTTTAGTAAATTGGAGCTGCTTACCTATTGATGTATCTAATTTCTTTTAACCACAATGACCTGTCCTTTTTACCAACAGTGAAGCACTACAGGAGGCAACTGTGGCACTGCTTCCTTAACCAGCTCATGGTGTGTGAATGTTATAAAGTCATCATTCAGATATATGTTTTAAATGTGATATTATACAAGATTTCATATGATGTGCAATTTATGGTGAAAAGTGCCAGTGATAGTAACTGTGTAAAGTCTCTGATTCACAACATTAATTCCTTTAAAATACACAGCCTTCTGCCTCTGTATTTGGAATTGTCAGTACAACTCATCAAAGAAAACTGCCTAGTATAAAATCATTTATATGGTAATAATTTCCCTCTTTTGTAGTCTGCACAAGATCCATAAAATATTTTATTTCTATTACTATTTAAATAAGTAATTAAATTTATATTGCAGTGAGCAAGAGTTCACATGCATTCTTTTATTATTATTATTATATTTTTTTGGACAGGCAGAGTAGAACAGTGAGAGAGAGAGAGACAGAGAAAAGTCTTCCTTTCCATTGGTTCACTCCCCAAATGGCCGCTACGGCCGGCGCACTGTGCCTATCTGAAGCCAGGAGCCAGGTGCTTCTTCCTGGTCTCCCCTGTGGGTGCAGGGCCCATACACTTGGGCCATCCTCCACTGCCTTCCCAGGCCACAGCAGAGAGCTGGCCTGAAAGAACACATGCATTCTTTTCTGCTGATAGATTTTGTTGTGTATCATTTAAAACATTTTGTATGTTTCTTCTTATCTATATACAGTATGTTCTTGAATAATGTTCATTTGTCAGGAGAACTGTGAGAAGTAAACTATGTGGATACTGTCCATTTATGTTATAGAAAAAAAATAAATACATCTAAAATCAGTTATAAGATTACTAATTCATGGATTATTCAACAACTGAATTATAATTTGAAAATCATGCATTGGCAATTATACCTTGTCCAAAATTTTAGAAAATTATTTTAAGAAATCAATATTGATGTAGTATAGACAATTTGATCTAATTTTGCAAAGATGTTTCATTTTACCTGCTGATCTATATATAGATCAGCAAATATTTATATTAATATATGGGCCACCAAAGAAAATTCATAGGCTACTTCATACCTCGAATATTTATTGAAAATCTATTACCCACCACATAATCAATGCTATGCTGTGAGCAGGAGATACATAATAGTGAACAAAATAGATTTGTCTTGAAGATCTATGCTCTAGTATCTCTTTTTTGTTTATTTTTTGATGTTATCACAATGTGTAGACTTGCTTCAATGAGCACAGAATGCAGAACTGGATTTCATTTTACTGCATATGGAGCAAAAATGTGACTTACACTGGAGACAGAAAATTTGTTATTGATGATTTCTGGAATGTGGTCATAGCAGGGTACCTTTAAAAATATTAAGGAAGATTGTTATATTTGTCATTTTTATCTGTGGTTTATCTACCATTTACCATGTCATGGGTCAGTATATAATACTAAATTGTGCTTTACCATTTGTTACTAACATTACTTCTTTAATAAAAAACAAAAGACTCAAGTGCTATGTGCTGTGCATTTAGGAGGGTATTCAAGAGTTGACTTGACTTATCTGCAGTTACACTATTAAGGAAAGCCACAACTTCATGCCAGGGCTTCTCTTCTTAATTTCACAGTTATGATATTTCAGTAAACTGTGAAAAGTTTGAAATCTTTTTTTTGTTCCCAGCATATGCTTCTGTTGTTACATATTTATTAACTGATGGGCATATTTTGATTTGAATTGTGGTGGTAAATCTTTAAAATATCCATGTTAAGAACATATGATACCTTAAGAAATGTAACCGTCTAAACCAAAAAGTATATGGATGAGTATTCATCAAGGAGGAAATCTTCAAGCTGTCATTTTACCTCTTCTTATTGACCTTTATGTGAACAGTTAATTTATAATGTTGCCACATAGTGCTTATAAATGTTATTTCTTCTAATACTTAAACATAGTTTACTCAGTGCTATTTTATAGTTATTTCTACATGTTCTTTGAAAAAGTAATATTTTATAATTTCGTACAAATTGACTATGAGAATATTAGTTGTAAGTTGTTTACTACGGTTGATCAGAAACTTTAAGATTATAATTGTATTGAATAAACAGGATTAATTTATGCTTTTTACTTAGACTGGACAAGATTAATGTGTTAGTCCTTTCAAATTATTCAGTTGCATATGCAAATAGGCATTTCTCCTCAAGCAAACCAAGCAAATCATCTAATTAAAATGGTATAGACCCATATTCATTGCACAAAAGATTGTATTCTGATATTTAATCTCAAAGAAAGCACTTCTAAAAAGTTTGTTTTAACAATTAAGCAATAAATGTTCCTGCAAGATTAATTTATACCAAAAATTAATGTTGTGCTTAGTGACATCCTAGGTGTTAGAATCTCTTGTATGTAGTTCTAGGGTTGTATATTATAAGATTTGATTATATATATACACACACACACACACACATATTTGTTGCCTACATATCTTTTCGAAATATCTTTTAAAAATGTATAAAATGGATCTCTGGTCACGTTTTGTTTTTGGTCTGTCCTGGGTCGTGTGTTTGCAGAGCGCCCCCTCCACTACAGAGAGAACGTGCTGGAGCAGGTCCTTCGGTGGAGTTCTCTAGCTGAGCCTGGCTCTGCGTGTCTTGTGGTGAAGAGATTCTTAACTGTGGACACAATCGAGCACTGTAGAGGTAGGTGCCAGGGTTCCACAGCACAACCGCAATTGAAAACGCAAGTGGTTAAAGGATAACTATTATGGTACAAGTGGTATTTGAAAATATGAAAATGAGTAGATAAAAGCTGAATCTTCTCGTATAGCATTGTAGAGCAGAACACAAAATATATGAATAGGAGGAAATTTTCCTAAGGTGTAGTGCTAAAATAATAGATAATTTTGATCAACTTGAAAGTTTTGGAAATGAGTGACTTTTTCCAGGTTGGTTTACTATACCTGTGCTTATTTTTTCTAATTTAAAGGTTGATGGTGAATTTTCATTCTGCATTATGTTTCTATTTGAAAGTTTTCTGGGCATTCAAGAAGTAAAAGTTATACAGGCTCTGAGGTTAGCGTATGCTTTAAGTCTCACCTTTTTTTTTTTTTTTTTTGCAGTTACATTGATAAATAAATCAGTGCAAAATAAATATTTTGCATCCAATTGGAAAAAGACAATGCACACATTAGATTAAATAAGAAGTTAGCTTGCAGAAATGGACCCTATAAAGGAAATCTCTGAGGCTATTTATCAGAAGATATTTCATTTTATAACATCATTCATCAGCCATACAAAATTATCAACTTAAATATTAGCCTACTATACATTTATTGAATGTTGAGTCCTGCCTAACGATACCTTCATATGGGCAGACCTATTGATTTCAAGGACCTTATATATTCCCCACCTCAGTGGGGAATCTATGAACGCTATCCTAGCTCTCAAAGTCAGTTATTCTTTCATTTTATTATTGAGATAAAAGAAAGCAACTACCTTATTACAAAACACTGTCAATATTATGTAGTATGTATGATTCATTCCCATGGTTCCTTTTCTTTTGGAAACTGACATGTTTCCTGACCAGTTTTATCTTCTGGGTGATAATTATTTTTCTTTTTCTTTCTTTCTTTCTTTCTTTTTTTATTTATTTATTTATTTATTTATTTATTTATTTATTTTGACAGGCAAAGTGGACAGTGAGAGAGAGAGACAGAGAGAAAGGTCTTCCTTTGCCGTTGGTTCACCCTCCAATGGCCGCCACTGCTGGCGCACTGCAGCCAGCGCATCCCACTGATCCGAAGCCAGGAGCCAGGTGCTTCTCCTGGTCTCCCATGGGGTGCAGGGCCCAAGCACTTGGGCCATCCTCCACTGCCCTCCCTGGCCATAGCAGAGAGCTGGCCTGGAAGAGGGGCAACTGGGACAGAATCCGGTGCCCTGACCGGGACTAGAACCCAGTGTGCTGGCGCCGCAGGCGGAGGATTATGCTATTGAGCCACGGCGCCGGCCTTTCTTTTTCTAATACTATCCCAGAATATCTCTAGTTGTCCACATTACAAACTGTTTGCAAGTTATGCCTACACCTAATACCTTGGCTCTTATTTGAATACTGGAAGCCTGGTTACATGAATATAAGCGGATGAATAAGATCTTGAAATCTTATTATACAAAGGAATGGCATGCATGTGTGGTGGGCAAGAACAGCATTCTGTGTTGGTAATCTTTGAAGATAAAATTAGCAGTGTACATACTGAGGTGATATAGAATCCTCACATATCAGTATAATCTTTGTTATTTAAGGGCAATTAGAAATTGCACAGTGACAAACTACATCAGATCTACCCACAACCTGTGGTAAGAAGATTGAGTGCTATACTCATGCTTCACTTAAAGCATTGCATCCCCTTGACAGGCTGTGAGTGAGTCCCATTGTAAACACTTCAAGGTCTAGACTAAGCATCCTGCATACAAACTGGAGAACCCAAGCAGAGGAAGAAAGTCTGCGTGTGAAGTGATATTTTCAGAGATTTGCATGAAACATTCTCGGGAGTAAAATGCCATTGAACTTATGCATTACTCTTATTTCCTTCACTTTTCTAAGAAGATGGAAACTTTAAACAAATCCCTGTCCCTGCACTATCCTTACCTCATCAGTATGCGACTTGTTGCTATACCATCTGCAGTTCCTTTTACTAGGAAATTAGGTCTTTTTGCAAGAGAAAAGAATCAGGTTTTAGAGTAATACTATTAGTAAATACATTAGTTAGACCATTTTCTGTTAGCAGGTACCTGTTTTGGATGAAAAATAAATTTACCATGTTTAAAATATTTTAAATGTCTAGCCTATATTTTTATTAATGTTTTCAATTAGAATTTAGTTTATGTTGATTATCAAAGCAAAATAATATGTTTTGTTATAGTTGATTTTAAATTTGGGATTCTCCTTTTTAAATAAACTCTGATCTGTTTCTAAAATCAGTTTCTTAAGTCATGATTTTGACTGCTGGTTGTTTCTTTCAGAAACCTGGAGCTTATTAATTACTTGTATGGAGTATTCTTTGTGATAGATTCTGGGTAGCTTAGCTATTCAGTCTACTTTGTCTCTGTCTTGGCAAGTGATTCCTAAATCAATCACAATGACCACCTACTCCAGAATTATTGCTCCATCCATTACATCCACTCCACCTGAACATTAGGATCTAAAAAGAAAACAATGAAAGTAAATCAAATGTGATTTCTATGTCAATTTGTTAGCAGAAAAAACTGGAGTGATCTCAGAAATAGTTTTTCTTCAAAGCAGAAAAAAATAATGTTAAAGGTTTTTCTTCTTTTATTCTAACCTGGGGGCAGAGTAGAAATCAGTCATTTGAAAACAAGGGTAATTTGTCTCAACAAATTTTTTTCTATAAAGCAAATCACCAATGTGTTAACATTTTGTTCAAATATAATGTTGTTCTAGGACATATTTGTACCTTGTCCCCCCCCCCATATTTGTTACATAGTTGCCACGAATTTTACTGTTTTTATATCTAGGTATCTACATGTACACACACACATAGGCATGACTTGAGTTTCAGTAATTGTAGGACAATTGTTCTGATTTATGGAACAATTTGACTTTTATTTTTGTTTGATATTATGTTTTCATTACTTTGCTAAATCAAGAATGTTATCACATAAGAAAGATTTGCTGCAGTTTAAAGTTTTTAATTTATTCAGTTTTCTTACTTTATCTGAACCATTTACAATATAGACATCACAACTATAAATAGATTTTAGGATTGTTTCTGCTCACCCACTTAAGGTAATAAGATAATATATTTTTAGAAATATGTAGCAGTAGATGAACTGTCGCCTCTACTTAAAAATCAGTTCTGCGTTTTTCAAAAACGGTCTTTTATTTCTCAGAAACATTTTGTGCCATTGCCATTATTATAATGAGGAGTTAATTAACTTGAAAAGAGATAATAGTTCCCAATTTCTTTTCTGCTCTATGGATTAAAAACTGAGACTTTGAGATAGGAAGAATAAAACTTCATTGGTGTTGCTGTTAGTCACAGCTAATCTTACTACAACATCTTTTGTTACTATCTTTTTATATTTTGTTAAATTTCAGTAGCTATTACAAGTAAAACATCAGCTTCTGTAAGGTTCCATAATAAATAGTTTTTTTCTTGTGAAAGTCTTATTTTAAGCATGGGAATCCTTGAAAACTGTCTCATAGAATTTGAAAGATAAAAATCAAGTCTTAATGATTTATTTCAGAAGAAATACTTTAAAGATATAAAATATTACTGAAATGCATATCCATGTGGATTTCTAAAGTTGGATCTCTGGGTTTCACAGACACTTTTGGATTAAATTTACATTAGATGACAGTAGTTCAAAATGTAACTGCTTCTGACAAATTCATACCTTGAAACCTGAACCATTTGCTCCCAATGGACTTAAGAAAATAAAATAATATTTCAGCAAAAATAGCACAAGTCTTTAAGTTGTGGTCTTCCTGAGATAATTCATTTTCCATTCCACATAAAATCATCTTCAATCCAAAAGTACAGAAAATATTGAAGATAAGACTTAGCTCACTTCGAGTGGAAGTATTTTTCTGGAAACTTATGGTAATCCTTGGTTTTTACTACCCTGTATGGAAATTCTGATATTGTCTAATACTGTTAATTCCATAGCAGGAAAACCAAAGAATTTCTACTCTGTTTCATGCAAGTATGTGCTATAGAAAATTAAAAGATTGGTAAGCCTTATCTTTACCAAAGCCAACACCTATTTAAACAAATGATTATAGACATAGCATGTAGCAAGTGGCTACTCTAGGCCAGGATGTTCATGCAGAGCTTTTGAGCACAGCAAAGGAGTTTTAACTGGATGATCATTGCCATGTCTTCAAACACTGAATGTCCCAATTCAAGGAAATGTAATTCCTTGTTTAGTCCTTGGTGTATTCTGCCATAGCAAGACAGTATCTTACCTTTTACTTTATTCTTTAAAAGTACATGATAAGTACACTTTAAAAATATGAATGAATAAGTAATTGTGAAACAGTAATTACTACAGAATTTCAGAGGACCACTGCCACTCTCTTGTCTAGGTTGTTAGGGAATGCTTTCAAAAGAAGGGAGCATCATTGAACCACTACTGTGAAGGCAGTAGTCCTTGGTTTCTTTGTGTGGGCGCTTCCTGAGGTGATAAGATTATGAGAATTGAAGAGTTTCCGGTTGGAGATGGCATCAGGTAGGTTTCCTGAAATTAGTTTTGGATGTGGTGGGTTTTAGGCATTTGATTTTGCTCAGAGGTATATGTCTAGAAGGTATTGAAGTACCCGTAGCTGTGGAACATATTGTATAGGATATGGTTTTAGCCCTGGATGAATGTGAGATCATGTAATTTTAGTGTTAAGACTGAGAATATCAAGAGTACTAAAATTGCATGAAAATCACTTGAGATTTGTGAGCACTTGGAAAACTCTTCAGTGTTACATAAAAACAGATTGCTGAGAACTGTACCTGAATTTAGTGCTTAAGAAATGTATGCCACTCAGTGGGAGAATCAACAGAACCTGTGGAATCATATTGGGAATTGGTATTCTTTATAGTGATTTTGTTCCTGTTTATTTTTAAGTTTTCTTTTTGCTACACTGGAGAAGAAAGATAATGGTCAATTTTAAAAGTTGAAAGTATACAGGC